GTCAGGGACCTTGGACTGTAGGGGGGGGAGGGAAGGTCACTAGTAAGGACACAGAGGGTGGGGAAAGGGAGACAGAAGGACAGACGGAGGGGCCAGGGTGTGCGTCAGAGCCAGGGGGTGAAGGTTGTGCGGCTGGGCTGGTGACTGGTGGAAGAAAAGCAACAGAGAGCAAAGAGAACGGTGTAAATTTTAGGAGAGGAGAACCCTGCAGGTTTGGCAGGGACTGGGCACAGACTGAGCCAGCCTTTGTAAGGAAAAAAACTGTCCCCCAAACCATGTTTTTAAATGCCATATTGGAAATGGTCTGTGGAGCGAGTTAAGCGCAAAATGGATGGCAGCCTTCATTTTGGCAGCAGCAGGAGCTGCCGTTCAGGTGGCTGTGGCTGGGGGGGTTCTTTCGCCACGTTTTAAGTGGAACTGAGTGATTATTTCTTTACTTGCGCTAGAATCCTTCCTGTTGGAAGGCAATTCCCATACCCTGAAAATGAAATAGCGTCAATGTAGTTCTCCGTTACCTGTGCAGCTGTTAAAGGACATCAGCAAATGAGTCCAGGCTGAGAACAGGAATAAAATTGTCCTGCATCTCATAGCAAGACTCCGTCTGTTGGCTGGCAATGCTGAGATGTTATTGTTACTGTATTAATGTAACTAAGTGGTATTCTTTCTGTTTATTTGGTTGCTGGGGAAAAAAAAAAAGCTTCTCTTTTTCCCTGTCTTACTGTGAAAAATAGGAATTATATCTCAAAAGACTTGCAAAGACATTTGCTGAACTGGATGCTGTTTGCGTTACTAATTTCAGGCAAGTGCAGCTCAGCAATGCTAATGTAGCGTCAGCGTGGCTGTGCTAACCTGCGTTCCCTTCGCCTCTCCCTTCCTTTCATTTCCAGATCGTGCTGGATTAATGGAGTGATCCTGCACCAGAAAATGATTGTAAAGTTAATGTTGAATAACTGAGTTAATTGTGGGGTTTTCTGCTTACCCAAGGATTAATAGGATGAAAGAGAACTTTAGTAGGGGGATGTAATGGCACTACCAGTGGTGAGTATCCTTGTGATTTAGCTGCAGCAAAACCAACTTTATATGCAAAAGTCCACTTGTGTGGCTGTCATTTTGAGGAAATCACAGCAAAACATACCAATGGGATCTGTGGTGGTGTTAATTAGAGACATGCTGGTTAATAAG